TCGCCGCCCTCCGGCCGCCGCCGCTGCGTCCTCCGCGGCGCTTCCCAGCGCGCCGGATCCCGGGGAATTGCGCCAGGCTCCGCCCCGCGCCCGCCTCTGGGCTTCCTGGGACTTGTAGTCCGCGCCGCGTCGCGTCCCGCCCCGCCGAGATCGCGGGGAGGGGGGGCACGGCTGGGGCGGGGGGGCCGAGGGCGCGGGACGATCTCGCATCCCGCGCAGCCCTCCCCGCGGGCCCCTGCGCTGCCCCGGTACCCCCACGCCTCGGGACCGAGAGGCGGGGAGCGACCCTCCCTCCGTGTTTTTGTTTGTTTCCAAGCGGCTGGCTCCAGGAGGCTCTGCGACTCGCCAGTGTCCCACGACCGTACTTGGTCGGCTTCCCCTAACCCGCATTTTTTAACTTTTCGCCTTTTCCGAAAATGACATGAGTGCTTCCTCGTAAATGAAATTTCTTCGCGAAGGGGAAGAGCCTCCTTAGTCTTTGGGGGCGTGGAGTTCACACTCCACGAGTGAACTGAAGTTTAGACGAGGATACGAGGGGCGTTGAAATACCACGGAGGCTTCCTAGGCACCCTTTCCCTTTAAAATAAAAAGGTTGAGGTATGGATCATACGAGTCATACGCCGCCAGCTCCGAGTGTGTTCCCGGCCCCTTGCCTGTCAACCCCCAGCCCAACCCCAGCGTAAGCTCAGCCCCGGGCCCCGCGGAGCTGGACCGCACTGCGGCAGCGGCCTCAGCGCGCAGAAGGCTCCTCTCCCCGCAGGTTCGAAGCAAAGGGATTGTTGCAGATGTTCGGAACACCAGGGCCAGTCGGCGGCCCCACAGGCCTGGTTTGTGCGCGCTGGCCGAGTCCCTGCCCCCACACATCCGAGTGGTCTTTTGGAAACAGAAATCCGCCGCCTAGGCATGCCTGAGCAAAGCCAGCCGAGTCTTCACGGGGTTCACCTGCAGCCTGCATACTGCACCCTGATATCCAGCCTTGCTGAATTACCCTCTCTGGGCTCACAATTCCCCCAGATGAATGGGCCGACCATCTTAAGCATTCTGAGCCTTTGCTCATGCCCCCCTCCCCATCCCTAAGTCCCAGCAGGGTTCTTGACACATTTAGAGTTCATTGCTCCATCTGTGATAAACCTCTTGCTTTACACTTATTGTAAGTAACTATAATAACTGAGATGCTGGCCTGTGACCTCATTTTACTTAACCTATCAGCAGGCATTGGTCACTCCCTCTCCTGGAAACCCCTTCTTCTCCTGGATGCTGGGATAACGTGTTCATCAGGCTTTCCTACTATCTTCCTGGCTTCTCAGTCCCTTTTGTGATTCCTGCTTACTTCCCTAAACTCTTAAATATGGAAGGCCGGGGGTGGGGTGTGTGCATTCCTGGGCCTCTTCTCTTCTCTTTTCTATATGCAGTGATCTCTATCTTTAGGCTTTGAATATCATATACAGGTTAATGAACCTCAAATTTGTATCTCCAGCCCAGACCTTACCCCTGAATAATGAATGTATATCCAACTGCCTCAACATCTGTTGGATGCCCCCTGGCAATTTAAATCCAACATCTCAAGCTGAACTCTTGCTATCCCCTCCCCCTGCTCCCCCTGGATCATCTCCATCCCAGTTATGGGCAACTTCTGGCTTCTGTCTGCTCAGGCTAACAACTTGATGCCTCTCATCTCATACACCGGATAGTGTCATCTCCCCCTCCAAAAGATCCAGAATCCCACTACTCACCACCACTCTGCCGCCACTACGGAGTCCTGATCATCTTGCCTCTGGGTTATTGCTAGGTGATTGACCTAGCCATTGATCTCCTTGCTTCTTACCTTGTGCCCTTATAGTCTATTCTCAATAAGGCAGCTTTGGTGAACCTTTATAAAACTTAAGTTAGGTCATGTGACACCCCTGCTCAAAACTCTCCTGGGACTCACATCCCACTCAGAGTAAAATCTAGCTCCCTACTCTGGCCTCTGAAGCCACAGAGGCACCAGTTCAGGGTCTGAGCATTCCCCCTACCTGTAAGCTAACAAGCTAGTCTGCTGCAGGTTCATGGATGCTGCCAGAAGACATGAGACTCCTGGGTCAGAAACAAAGGACTGTATCATTCACAGCAATAGCAGTAGGTAGAGTATCAGCATTTTCTTTTCTTTTCTTTTCTTTTTTTCTGAGAGAGAGAGAGAGAGAAACAGCATGAGAGGGGATAGGGTCAGAAGGAGAAGCAGGCTCCCCGCCGAGCCGGGCGCCCGATGTGGGACTCGATCCCAAGACTCCGGGATCATGACCTGAGCCGAAGGCAGTCGCTTAACCAACTGAGCCACCCAGGCGCCCCGAGTATCAGCATTTTCATGCACCAGTTCACCGAGCCCCTGTTCCCACAGGGCCATCAAGTCCGGATGCACACATAGTGAGTTTCCTAATAGGAGAGGAACCCTGAGCTTAGAGAACCCCAACCTTTTATATGGGAAGTGTTCTCTCAGGAAGGAAACCCTGTCTTAATTATCATGGACAGTAAGCATATATGCCCTTAACTGTGAAAAGGAAACACTATCTCCATCTCCCTAGGATGTTTGCCCTCCAAAGCGTCTTAAAGAGAGGGTTCAGAGTGGGGCACCTGCATGGCTCAATCGGTTAGGTGACTGGCTCTTGATTTCGGCTCAGGTCGTGATCTCGGGGTCCTGGGATGGGGATTGGGCCCCATGTCAGGCTCCACGCTCGGTGGGGAGTCTCCTGGGGATTCTCTCTCTCCTTCTCCCTCTGCCCCTCCCCCCACTCACGTGCCTGAGCTTGGACTATCTTGCTCTCTCTCTAAAATAAATAAATAAATCTTAAAAAAAAAAAGATGGTTCAGAGCAAAGACAGTCCATGTCTCTGCCCACAGATGTGCAGGATGAGAGACAAATGAAAGATGGTTTCTCCTCTTTAGCCACCCTGTGGGCCCCCATGATGTCACTTAAATACGCCAGGCACACACCACCCCCCCCACCCCTGGTGTTCCACTTGGTGCTTCCTCTGTCAGGAATGTGCTTCCCCAGCAACCATGCGCGTACCCTAACTAAGATGTCATCCCTCTGGGGTGCCTGGGTGGCTCAGTCAGTTAAGCATTTGACTCTTGATTTTGGCTCAGGTCATGATCTCAGGGTCATGAGATCGAGCCCCAAGTGGGCTCTGCCTG